CCAGCCAGTGCACCGTCTGTGGGGGGAGCGGGGCCACCCTCAGCGCTGCCCCTGACACCCCCAACCCTGGCGCAGAGTCAGGCTGAGGTCAGGACAGGTTGGTCTGTCACCCAGGGCCAGCGCTGGGACACAGCTCCAGAACACCACAGGTGCTGCCCCAGGGGGTCCCGGACGCCCCCCTGTCCCACCGCTGGGCACTCACCACCTGGGGGATCCGCTTGCAGATGGGGGGGTGCAGGGCCGTCAGCATGGCCAGGGTCCCTGAGGCTGCCCGCCGCAGCTTCTCATCCTCCTCACCGCTGTACAGGACCATCAGCTTCAGCCGGTCCCTGCCCTCGGCCAGGAACAGCTCCTGCACCTGCAGGGGAGGAGGGGGTCGGGTCAGGGGACTGGGAGCCCAGCGCAGACCCGCAGCCCGCCCTGGCTCAGCCCTCACCTCCTTGCTCATGGCCATGTTGCACATGCACTCCGTCGCAGCCAGCCGGATCAGCTCGTGCTCCTCAAACATGTACCCCTCGATCATGGGCACAGCCTTCTCCTTCAGGATCTTCTGCCTGCAGCGGGGTGTGTGTCAGCTTGGTCTATAAGACCAAGGTCTTATAGATCTGATAAACTGCCCACTTGTTACCCTGAGCCAACAATCTGTCATTTTTTTGATGAAATGCTGTCCTTTAGTGAACTTTTGCTCATTATAGTGTCATTATAATACCAAAACACACCGCCATCCCAAACGCTACCTGCCTCCAAGGTGCGACCACTCCTCCTTGAGTCTGCACCCTGAATTTTTCATAAACTATACCTTCAAATGCGAGGTGAGAAAATTTTACACCAATCATAATGAAAGTATTTATGACTAGAGTCACTCAAACTCCACCTTGAAGATAAAAATATAGTATACAAATAGCCCAAGAAAAGGGGGATGTGAGGGAAGACACCATCGTGGACTTCTGGGACCAGTTGAGGGGCTGAGCCTCTCCTCTCCCCCATAAGGGCACTTGTGGGTAAGATTTGAACGCTTGGCTATACTAAGTGCTTCCCGGGAAACTTAGAAATCTCTATATAGAGTGGTTTTATAACTTAGCGCTTTTGTAACCGAGCCATATTGCTAACATCTTTAGTATTCACATGTGCTTTGCAGACAGTCGCTGTGGGATAATAACGGAAGATTGGCGAGGAGGATTGTAAACACGCTCAAGTGACTCCCTCCTGGGGTGCTGGACAACACACGTATCACACTAATTGTTGTTCAGCCTTGTGTGCTGGCAAGTAGAATATCCGCACTTAGATAATGTACGCCTGGGATGGACTCAGGGACACCTTATCTAGCATGCATGAGATCTCTGCCGTGTTGTTGAAGATCAAAGCACAGTGGAAAACTACACCTGCTTGAACCCTTGAAAAGCAGGCGAGAACAGCAAGTTAGAGCTCACACGCTGCTGCTAACAAGGACTTTCTCCCGCCCTGCGGTGCCTGCGTCCCCTGCTTGTGTCCCTCTGCCCGGCCATTGCTGTGGAGACTCCCCAATTTGTGAGGTATTGAGATTAAATTTGTGGTCTTGTGTTCGTTCCTGCGTCCTACCCGAGTCGGCTCACACAGTCACAATCACCGGCAATCCAAAAGAACATGTGTATCTGTTGTTTAAATAAACTGCACTGTGTAGGCAGCGAGTCATTTGGGTTTCTCATGGAACACGACCAAAGCGCGGCCGTGAGTTCATGAGCACGACTGGGCTGAAGGTGCAGTCTGCTATGAGTGTATCCCGAACCGTAACAGTTTAATATATATTAAACGCGCCTGGACTGATAGTGGTGAATTGGGCATCACTCAGAATTTAAACCTAGCCGCACCTCGCCTCCCACCTCAGGGAGGAGTGTCAGAACGCACGGGGGTTTATTTTCTACCAAAACTACTTTGTCCCTTTAACGCAACAGCCCCACCGCCCTTACCGCAGCCTCTCGCTGATGCCAGCCAGGTTGGTTAATGCCATCAGCCCCTCAAAGTTCTCCAGACCCGTGCGCTGAAGGTGCAGAAGGCTTACCAGGGGCCGGACCACCTCGTAGATCTGTGCAGACAGCGGGGCAGGGCTCACACGCTGAGCGCGGGGCAGGGACCCTGCGCCTTGTGGAGCAGGGGGTGCAGGGAGCCCTGAGCCCAGCCTAAAGGCAGAGCTGCTCCCACGGTCAGGCCTCAGCCATCGGGCCCTTGTGGGGAACACCAGGGGTCTTGCCACCTCCCACTCCCCAGGGAAGGGCAAACTCATGCTGCAGTTCTTGTGGCAGGGGGGGCAACTCTGTGCCCACCGCTGCTTCCACGCAAGCCCCTGCACAGCCCCGACTGCCCCCGCAGGGCGCCAGACCCTTCCCCCCAGCCCACAGCACCGACACTCACCCTCTCCCCAGGGAACGCCATCTCCGGGTTGGAGGTGATGGTGATCTTTGCCAGGGCCTGAGCTGCCTTGGTCTGCCCCACCTCGGTGCCCTCCAGGGACAGCGGGATGAGAGCCTGCAGGCAGAGACACAGCAGCCAGGTCACAGCAGTGCCAGCTTCCCCAAGCCTCGCGTATGAGGGAGCTGGTGTGGTCCCCTGCCAAACCACAGCCACCCTCCGCAGAGCCCCAGCCCCCCCCCCGAGCCCTGCCGCGTGGCACAAGCACAGGCACAGCGAGACCTGTCCCCTCACCTTGCCTCCTCCCTGGGCAACCACGCCGCCCCGGTCCTCTGCCTCCTCCACCAGTGCCAGGAACACTCTAGGGACAAAGTGGGAGCAGCTGGAGCACCCAGACACCCGCAGCGGGCCCAGGCTGCACCACACTCCCAGACATCCCCTTCCTTCTCATAGGAGCATTGTATTCACTGCAGGCACATAAGTTCACCAGGAGGACAACGGCAGCCTCAGAACAAGGTAACAGGACAAGAGGTAACGGGCACAAGCTTGAACATAGGAAGGTCCATCTTAACATGAGAAGGAACTTCTTTACTTTGAGCATAGTGGAGCACTGGCACAGGCTGCCCAGAGAGGTGGTGGAGTCTCCCACTCTGGAGACATTCCAAACCCACCTGGACACCATCCTGTGCAACCTGTTGGAGGTGACCCTGCTCTGGCGGGGGGTTGGACTAGATGATCTCCAGAGGTCCCTTCCAACCCTGACCGTTCTGTGATTCTGTGAACCCAGGTCCCTCCCTGCCAACCACAGCACACCCGTACCTGGAGATCAGCTCCCGGCAGGAGTTGGTGAGCGCCGGGTTCTCGCTCTTCACCATGCAGGCCAAAGCTGACACCACACCAGCCGTCAGCAGCTTCCGCACCCGGCGCTTCACAAAGTCCGGCTTGTCCTGTCCCAGAGGCAGGGTCACCGTTCGGCTTGGTGGCACCAGTCTGCCACCTGCTGCCACCCGCTGCGAGGTCTCCCACCTCACCCCTGAAGGTCCCAAGGACACCCTGTCCCCACTTGGGACCCCAGGCTCTGTCCCACCCACACGTTCTCCTCCGTGGCCAGGGCTCCTGGCAGGTCCCGAGAACAGCCGTGCCCTGCTCACCTTGGGGTGCTGCTCTGGAATGTGCTGCTTGGCGTACTTGGCCAGCTCCAGCATCTGGGGGTCCGGCTCCTCGTGGTCGTAGCTGTTGGTACAGTTCACCAGTGTGGAGGCGACGGCGTAGAGCACGCTCCTGTCCTCTGACTGCAGCAATAACAGGGCACCCATCACACCCACGATGGGGAGAAGAGCCCGGGACTCCAGCCCACCCAGCACCACCGGGCCCTTCCACACACCCCAGCACCGCAGCGTGAGCCCCACAACCCCCTCCGGCACGTTTCTCCAGAGCCAGGGTGCCCACCACCCAGGGCCCCCGCCCCAGCGCTCAGCACGCACCTTGGCCAGGTGGAACATGGCCTGCATGGCTGCCTTGTCCTCCACAAACTCCTCCTTGACATCTGCATCAAAGGTGAGGTAGGCCAGGCCCTCCACCGCCCAGCGCCGCGTGCCCGCGTCGATCGTCTCATTGCAGAGCCACCTGGGAGAGGGGCCCCGTGAGCCCAGGCCGTGGGGCACCCTGCCCAGCTCCCCCCCGCTGCACGCCCCACAGCACTCACTTGCGGCACTGCTTGGCCAATTTCATGGTGGACCCCTCAGCAAACTGCTTCATGCTGAAGTCGGTGCCGCCGGCGGATCCCAGTTTGCAGAGCCCCTGCAGCCGGGAGCAGAGCGTCAGAGCAGGAACGGCCCCAGTCACCCCAACGCGCCTCCGAGAGCCCCCCAGCAGGGAGGGGACAGCGCTGGGGCTCTGCAGCCGCAGCCCACCCAGCACCACCCCAGGGCTCGGC